ATAATGGAGACTCAGACTTGTGGGGGGAGGGGGGGAAATGGGCATTTATTGAAACCTTAAAATCTGTACCCCCATAATATGCCGAAATAAAAAAAATTTAAAAAATTAAAAAAAAAGAATGTTAAAAGATCTATGCAAACACTAACAAAAAGAATGATGATGTAGCTCTCTTATAGCATAAAAACAGGCTTTAAAGCAAAAAGATTATTAGCAATAAACAGGCACATTTCATAAAAATGAGAAGACTATATAACAACTATGCATATAATATTGCATCAAAGTGTTTAAGGTAATAATTTAGAAAAGAGCAGATATAGACAAATCTATTGTCACAATGAAAGCTTTTAACACAGTCTTCCTCTAGTAACTGAAATAAGCAAACAAAATAGAAATCTAGAATATTTGAATAATACAATTAATTAACATATATAGAACCGTATACACAACGAATGTAAAATACACAATGTCTTTAAATGCATCAAAAATAGAAAATATTTCATAACAAATAAAATGAAAAATCTGTAAGATATCGATTTAAAAATCTATGAAACATTGGGAGAAATTAAATAAAAACTAAGTGGTAGTATGTATCACATTCTTTGGTTGGAAGATGCAATATTTTAAAGATGTCAAAATTTTTATTTAAGAAATGACACTTTAGACTGAATGGGAAATAAAAATACATGGGATCCCCTGAAATTCTGTCTAAATTTGGGGAGGAAAAAAATCCAGAAAACAAGCTTTAAGGGGCACTGGGTGAAAGAAGAGTTGCTTTCTATTTGTCTCCTGTTAAGTCTAGCTCTTTTAATAAAATAGTTACAGTTGTTAAGAGGAAATTCATAAATTCTTGTGAGGAAAATTAATCTTGACACTAATTATGAGAAATACATCATAAGGATTCTTATATAGGAAAGCAATTAGGTAATAGATTAGATTTAATTAATTATAGTTTCAGGAAAGACACATAAGTATTCTTCAAATGCCTTATTTCTTTTATCAATGCTGCATGAAAGCCAAAGGCTTTTCTGCAAGGAAATAATATAGTTAAGTGTGTAACCTTTAATAGAAGTGAGTTCAAAGACTCTAAATACAGAACAAAAACAAACTGGAAAGTGTAATTGTTTCACAATGAGGCAGATCTAATTTTAATTAAATCTCCTGACCCTTAGTATCTTCCTCTGTAAGAGTAAGTTAATAATACCTGTCTGACTGGATTGAATAAAATAAACTCCAATACTGAAGGCTGGCATAAATTCATTTCGGTTTCTCAACTCTCATAGAGCAATATAGTTAGAATATGCAAATCTAGACCACCCTTCTTAAATACCACAATTAAGCTTTGGCTCAGAAAAATACTCCACAGGTGAAAATTCTGCTGAGTCTCTGAAATATCACTATTTGAATTGCTGGTTGAAAACGAGCTTCCTAATTTAGACACAGATAGCAGGATTGATATTCTGTGAAGATGTAGAAAACTGACTTCTATTCTTGCCTCCAGATGATATTTCATCATGCTTCCGCATATACTGGCCTCACACAGTAAGTACAACCGAGGGCAGGTCGAAATTTATTCACAAGAAACAAACGAGAATTTCTAATCTCTTCAAGCCCTTGAACAAGTTTTGTTTCTGAAATCAGAGATCAGTGTAGACATCTTAAATTATTTATAAGGATTTGTAATTATAACACTCCTTGGGAGCTAATTTTTTATTCTACTTAGTTGATATGTAAATAATGTAAACTATATTTTAACTATATTGTTGCCACAATAAAACATTATCAAACTTACAAGGAGAAATCAACTAGTAGACTGAGTTTACATAAGTAACAAGATGCCAGGTCAGACAAAACCTTTAGAGAAAGAAGCTGGGATTTATAGTAAAAGAAGCTGCATCTGTTTCTTATAGATAAAACATCAAGTCCCCTTAGAAAAAAACAATTTTGGTGGCCTCTCTCAGTATTATAGATCAAAGGCAAGCTGGTACCTACTGTTCTTGAATAGAACGTATATTTGGCTTGACACAGATTGTCCTTTCTCTGATTCTTAGTGTGTGAAATGTGAAGTCCAGTGAAGAGGAACTAGAAAAAAAATGTCATAGGAAACCAAGAGTGTCCTGGGTAGAAATCTTTTTCTTTTGAGATTTACCAATATTTGAACATATTCAAGAAACTAGTGTAATCCTAATCTGGGTAATCCTGGCAGACAGGACCCCAAAGAGTTTGGAAAACAAACATCATACAGAGAAGAGGACTTAGGACTTTGAACTTGGGACCTCACTCAATACCAGAGCACCAGTCTTTTCTTAGAAGAAGGTCAGTTCTGCAGACAGCATGCAGTTGATCCTGAAACTCTTTTGACTTGATCAGCTATCTTAGCACTATAAACACACTATGAGACAAAATTATCACAGTTATATAAAAGAGAGCTGTGCCACTTGTAAGTGAAAACACAAAGTCCAGGTCCACTGAGTGTGAAGCACACAGCTGGCATCTATGACTGCTGTGAAGGTTTCTGTGTTCAAGAAGGTCAATCTGAGCTCTTTATGGCAATGCCCACCAGCTGGTCTTCTTAAGTTCACACTTGGCCTCAGGTTCATTCAGAAAGCTTTAGGACAGGAAACATGCACTTGTCAGCAGGGCAGCTTCAAATGGTTCTCCTCAGTAAGTGTCCTCACAGAAGTCCATACAGCACCCTCATCCCCAGGTTACAGCTCAGGGGCAAAGAAATGTATGCTCATCTGGTAGACACAGAAGCCACGCTGGCTTCGGAGCTCCGTCACTCACAGAAGCCTCCATAAGGGAAATGCCAATTAAAAGAGTCACTTCACTCAAGAAAGCCCAATGTTATAGCATCCCCCTCAGGTAGATCTTAGTTTACTTACAATTCCTTCCAGTCCAGATACAACTAGACAACCAATAAAGCAATGTGCCTAGGAACATCGTGGATACACTACATTAATGGGGTTTCCAAGAGAAGAGAGCTAGAAAGTTAACAAGAAGTCAACTTCTCATGCAGAAGGGAAGAGTGTTTTGTTAACAGCAATGTAGTGGCATCTGCCATAGTACACAGAATCCCTAATGGTTACAGGATCAACCAGATTTAAGCAGTCTGACTTCTGGCTCCAGTGATTAGGCTAGAACATCTAGTACTAATCCTTGTTCAAATAAAATGCCGATTATAGGAAGAAAAACACCAAGGATGGCAGAAGATATTCTTGTTACAAGAAGGATGAGGGCATGAGGTCATAAATATTCAAAGAAATGTGAACTTATTGTGTACCTCAAACAAAGAATCAATTATATAAAGAAAGAAAATTAAACCGATAACTAGTTATGTATAAACATATCATCTTTCCTGGAAATAATTTACATTTCTAACACTTCTGATTTTAGAATCTCCTTTCTGCAACTATTCTTTTCTATTTCCTTAGTCATTAACAGTCTCTCCTACATTAATGGAAATTCCCTAATAATAAAATTAGAACACATTATAAATTAGATTCCACCTACCAAAATTAAGTTGCAATTTCTCAGTGTCTTAGAAAAGGTCTTATCACCCCAAACACTCTAGGTTTCTACAACAGTCTAATAATTTTTTCCTTTGAAATGTAGCTAATCCTTGGCTCTGTGACCCACCCCCCCATTTCGGAGACATGTTTAGGAGACATGAACTAATTTTAACCTTAATCTATCAAAAATGCAACCAAGAATAAAATCATGGAATACTCTCAGAAAAATAACTTTTAATCATTTCTTCTGTTAGGATGAAAAAACAAACACAGAGGCAAACAAAACTCTATACATTAGTTAAGAAAAATATAATAAAAGTCTAGAACATCCTTTAAATAACTAGAAAAGCAATATGAAACTTATCCAAAGAGCTTCTCAAATATTTTCATTAGCACCACTGAATTAATAAATTTGCTTGCAATGAAGTGATGCTCATTAAAAATCTATTCTACTATGCTGGCATGTGCAAATAATGAAAACCATAAAATAATTTCAGTGTTATAACCTGAAAGGGGACAACCATTACGAAGTAAAGCAGAAGGAATACTTTAAACATGCAATACCAATTGAGGTTATAATTTCATGCTTTGTAAACAAAGGGCAGCATGAGGTTTCTTGGCAGAATTTCTCACTTCCATTATTATTATCATCTGTGTTTGTTAGGAGGGAAGGAGTTCTTCTAATGGAAAATCTTAGTATCATGAAATTTCATCAAAATCTTCTATTTAACTGGTATTAACTGAGCAGCACCTAAGTGTGCACATAGGTACTAGAGTAATAGGGTATTGGGCAGGGGGGAGGGGGGTGGGTATATACATACATAATGAGTGAGATGTGCACCATCTGGGGGATGGTCATGCTGGAAACTCAGACTTGTGGGGGGAGGGAGGGAAAGGGCATTTATTGAAACCTTAAAATCTGTACCCTCATAATATGCCAAAAAAAAAAATCTTCCATTTACTCTCTGATTCCCCACTTCAGTTTCTTGCCATTAGTAACTCAGTTGTTTTGGAAACAAGATATGGCCTCAATTCACTTAGGTAATATCATGATTAAAGCTCTCAGAAATGGTTCCCAGCAAAATTCTGCTCTTCAGACAAAATGGCCAACATTTAGCTGGATTAGAAATAGAAACCTCCTGCCATGAAGAGTAGGATTGGCCCTTAGCATGCTATGGAACTTGGCACCCAGAATAATTCCTAGGCAACGGAAAATCTACAGATATTATTTAAAATACCAACAAGAACATCTGTGAATAAAAATGACAGAAAACATTTTGTACATGTTCAACAGTAATACTAATAACTCTCAAACTAACCAATATAGTAATAGAATTATATTGTTTTTTTCAAATCACACATTTACATAAACTTTATTATTTCATATTTTGAAAATCTTATAGGGTATAAATGTAATCATATTTTAAAATGTCTATAGAAACAATGAAGTACACCTCACATTCAACTCAAATTAGTCAAAAATCATCTTACCTGTGTAAAAAGTATAAACTGAGCAAATTGCCAAGGAAGCATAAAAGCAACATTGGAAAGACAGAGTGCAATGTAATTCTTTCCATAAGTGTTCGAGGTCCTAGAAAGAATGATACCAATAAGTTTTACCATAAAAGTAGCCTATCACTGAAAGAAAGACTAATTGTAAAATGATAAAATCCTAATGATCCCCTTATCTTTAATATAATACAACAAGATATAGTTGACTCTTAAAAGTTTATTGAAAATAACGTAAAATACCTTTAATATAACAAAATATAGTTAACTCTTAAAAGTTTACTAAAAAGAACTTGGACTATAAAAATGCCAACCATAAAACAATCAAAATTAGAGTTTAAACAATATTGTAATTTATCATTAAATAAAATGTTTTAAATATAAAATTCATTTTCCTTTAAACATGCATGACATTAGAAGTTTAATACTCCAGCAAGAAGGTCAGAAAATAGGACATGATGCTGGCCCTGCATGCCTTAAGAAATTCAGTTGAAGTATAGCATGTTGAAGTTTAAATTGCCCATTCTGCATAACTAAGATATATTAGTAACCAACCCCTTTTACCACACAGGACTTTAGTATATTTTAGAACATGAAAAAAGAAATGCAAACATTTTGTGTAAAAAATAAAGCTATAACTATTCTTTTTATAAAGACTGCATTAGATTTTGATAAATCATTGTAAAACAGTAAAGTTTTCGAAAGCAAAATTTTAAATGTTCATATTGTTTAGTAATATTATCACAAAATATTCACTAAGCACTCAGTAATCTTGTATTTTCTCAAACAAAAATTACTTTTGACTAAGGTTCACAGTATAGCACATGCCCTCAAGAACACAATCCTAAATGTTCTAATTAAGACACTGCATACCATGAAAACCCTGACTGGCCTGACTAACATCACTTCAAAAAAAAAAAAAAAATGAAAAATAACCCATCTTCTGAGGAATTTAACTCAAGGTATGTAGTTCAAGGTATGTAGCCACCCCAATATGCTGTTATTTACCTTCATTCAATCAGCTTCATATCAGGACCACAAATAACTGCATGGCAGTGTGTTAAGTGCTCTGTGGCTAAAGAGATAAATATGGCATGGTCCCTGTTTCCAGTGGTACTTTTAAATATATGTAAGTGTAGATACTTGTGTGTGTGAACGATTACAAATTTACACTTTCATGAAAGAAAGAAGATACATACACAAATGATTTTCAGGTAAGGCAAAATCTGCCAGGGACTAACTAGTAAGTAAAGTACAAGGTTCCTCAGGAGTTTGGAGGAGACAGTGATCACTATTGAATTCAAATGAGCGATCTTACTAGCATTCTATGAAACTTATTTTTATAATAGTTATTTATAGTATTCTACTACTTATGTGTTTTTCGTTTGTTTGTTTGTTTCTCAGACGTCTTAAACCTCTGAAATGCTTATAAACTTAGTTCCAACAAAAAATGTATCAAAAAAACAGTTGAAATGAAACTCAGGTTGAATTGCTAGAAACATGAGTTGCTCAGCAGTGCTTCACAAATATGTGAATATACACATACACACACACACACACACACACACACACATTCCTTTATCCATCTAACCCAGAATTTCCCAAGTTTATTTCACTTAGAACTTTTTTCATGGTACATATATTTATGCCCCATTAAACTCACAGATTGGAAAACAATAAGCAAGAGTATATACACTTTGAAGAAAAAAAAGTAAATGTTTCTCAAAAATCTTCAAATCTTTGCAAACTATGCAAGAACATGTACATTTTAATTTATTAAAAATGGTGTCGTTATCTCAAACCTGTAGTCTAGACTCTTAAGTGGAAAGCAATTTTTACATATCAATTTTATGTATTATTAACTGTATACTCTTCATAACTTTATTTTTAAAATAATTAAAATAATAAAATAATAGCCTAAGTTTGGAAATTATAGCTTAATAGGTTGAAGCATATTTTAATAAACTTAACTCATAATTTATTTCGCTTTTGTGATAAATCAAAATTACCTGAGAATCAAAGTTAAAACATACATCTGAAGTACAAGGAATGGATATGAAAAACTTTCACGGAGAGGTGGCGTCCACATCACACGGGTGGCCTGAAATCAATAAAATGCTCACTTCATCTTATGTTCTATTATAACAAATATTGTTAATTTAGAAATCAGGGGTGGACTTGTTTTAATAATTTTAATATTAGGCTTACTAGATCCATTTCCGAGTGCCTGGCATAGCTTCTCAGTTTTTGGAGCTCTCTTAATGCACAAGGCCATTAAGTAAAGAGTGATGATTAACTCCAAAAACAAGTGAAAGATATATCAGACCAAGCAGAAGAAAACCCTAGGGACAAACAAGCTGGTAGGTATAGGGGCTGTGAGGACGCCAGGACTGACAACCCAGATCCACATTCCAGCCTGGCAGGAACAACCCTGTCATCCCAGGCTTTGGGATATATACATGCCCAGAAAAATACTTAAACAAATGTTACCCAGGGCATTTACAAACATCAAGAGAGTCTATACATAACAAGTTCAAATGAGTATAGATACACATTACAAGTAGTTAATTAACATTGCCTCTGAATTTGCAAAATTTACCTTCAAAGAGGTTAACTATAAAATTTGAAAACAACTAAAAGTATCTGGGAATCATAAATGTGATACATGTAATGAAAAGTATTCATTAAATTTTCATTAAAGTTATTTCTAAGATATATGGGTCAGAGTATTCATAAAAGTTTTCTATCAAAAATTCTAAAATTCCAGGAAGAATCCAGACTCATTACTTTGTTAGAGTCTTAAAATTTATTGCTTCTAGTCCAAGAAACTAAGATTGTAAACACTGGAAGATGAACTATGCCTGTTGTCTGGCATACTGAAAGAAAAACCCTCGTCTTTATATCAACACATTGCTGAATGACAATGCGTTTAAGTTAAAATAATATATTTAAGGCACTTCATGTATAATTTTTAAGACTCCTTTGTGTAGCTGACTTTTAAAACTTAACCCAACAGTAACAGATAAAAAGACTTCTACCCTGTACAACCTGTGCCATAACATGCTAATATTTTGCTTCTAAAAGCTAGCAGTCAGATTCTCTCACTTTTTCACTGTCATATCCTCAGCATCTAACAGAGTATGGCACATCGTACGTACTCAAAATTTTGTTAAATGAATCCATCACATTCAAAGTTAGTTTCTATGAGCTTTTTTTAGGTGGACCATGTCCCATTGGGCTGAATTAGTTAATTTCCATTTTTGAATTCAGCATTTTGTGTTATTTAACAGGCAGCATGATATAATAGAAAGAAGCCAGGGAGCAGGTGACAATGCCTTAACTGTATGCCTATCATCATTGCCTTTTCCATCCTTGTTAAAGGGAGTGCAATGAGTATAAAGTTTCAGTTAGGCAAGAAAACTAATTTCTAAAGATCGTCTGTACAACACTGTATTAACAATATTGTATTAAACACTTAAAAATCTGTTAAGAGGACAGATTTCATGTTAAGTGTTCTCACCACAATTTTTTAAAAAGTTAAATATTTAAGTTTCAGAGCCAGACAGCTGCAGAATGGGAAATCCAGCTTCATCAGGTAGTGAATGTGGAATCTTGGATAAGAAACTTAATCTTTCTAAATTTTAATTTCATACCTTGTATGGTGAGGATAACAATCACCCCCTAAAAATGTCTGGTAGGAGTAAATGAGACAATACATGTAAAGTGCTCAAACTCAGCAGGTATTGTATTTCCTTTTTCCTATAGAATACGTGTATGCGTATATACTCACTAAAAACCCGGCAAGATATTTCATGTTTTAAATTCTAGTTATTTAAAAATTTAGATCAACATGATTAAAATATCAACTTACAACACAGGTTCTTTAAAATATTGTGAAGTCATAAGTAATGTGCAATTACATATTGTTTTGGTAAGTATACAGCCCTTTCTATTTCTTAAAACTAATTTTCTAGAAAACAAACCTCTCCATGGTTGAAAAAGTAGCACAGTACTGTGATCAGACCACCTAGTTGAGTCCCACTGTAAAAAAAAAAAAAACATACAAAACATAAAATCATAATTCATATAAAATATAGTGACTTCACAAAATTATCAATTTCAAATCATATTGTTATATATTTAAAGCATTATAGTATTAAACCATGTTAGTAAAAATTTCAGAAGTACCCATGTAGTTGATGTTTAAATCCTAAATGTATAGCCAATGTGTACATACAAGGTAATCTTAATTTTATAATTTATTACATCTAAAATATTTTATAAATTAAATATATACAGTATGAACATAAGATGATTTTGGCTAGCACTTCAGAATATTCACAAAGAATGTAAATATTCTGAAGATAAATTTTTATCTTTTGAAATTAGATGTAAATGAATGAGAGATGAAGAGTCTAACAAGTTTCATTTAGCAGTAACTTAGAACTGTCTAAATGACTGCAAAGATTCTTTTGTTGGATCCCAAAGAAGCAATAGTATAGAATATAAAAATCAGAACAAAGATGACTAGTATTAATCATCAAAGAGTAAGAACCATTTCTTAAGTTGCCTTTTTGTGATGGTGTGTATCTGAGTGGGTGTGTATGAAAACACAGATGCTCAAACCCACATTTGTGTAGTGGTTCCATGCCTCCCTAGACACTGCCTCATGCCTCACTTTCCATAATCTACCACATTCTAAGCACCATGCAGGCAGGTTCGTCATCTGTCTTGTTCATCACCGTATGCCCAGCTTCACACTTGGAAGACTATAAATATTGGTTGAACGAATGAAGAAAGTAAGGAATGAGTTCAAAAAAACAAGCAGAAAAAAGCTAATAGGAAGTGATTTATCATTAATAGATTACCTGTAAGAAAATTCAAAGGATGAATTTCAAAAAAGAAGAAATTGAAAGGAAGGAAGGAGAAGGACCAACTATACACATAAGGAACTAAGAACATATTTATAAATCTAAACAAGACTTGACAACAAAAACAATAATAATCATGGCAGCTGTTAGGGGTAACAGGAGTACTAACCTGGTAATAACATGTAAGATGGGAGAGGATATTTTGAAGTAAAGCACTCTAAAGTTCCTTGTATTCATTTGAGACTTGAACAAGTTAGATGTGTATGTTACCATTTTAGTGTTAACCACTAAAAGGATAGAAATAGAATATCTACCTTCCAAGTTAGTGCCAGTGGGGAAGGGTGGTCAGGGTAAGAAATACAAAATTCTCTCCTGCCCCTTCCATCCTATTGCTTTTATTTCTTATATGCCACAGTTTCCAATCTCCTCACAGTTTTGGTGACACTTTGATATTTGTGTATGTACATATCTTTCTTAAAGACTAGAGCCTAATAATGTATTTGATATTTCAGAACTGTGTAATCATTTTAGACAGACTATCACCTCTTGGGTAGCTCTTCCAATAAAAAATAATGATTTTAAAAAGTTTCAGTTACTGTTTTTTTTTTCTTTTTTTTTTCTTTTTTTTTTTCTTTAGGAACCAAGTTTTCTGCTATCAGTTACTGTTGTATAACATTTTCCACATTAAAAACCAAAAATAGTTTGTATAAGAAATACAAACTGTTTTTTAAAATAGAACATTTTAAGCCTGCCAAAATAATCTCAAAGTAATCCTTTTCCCTCAAAATACTTTACTGAGCTTATATATATAATTTTTCCTATATGGCATACAGAAAAGTACATAACATTTCTAGCTTATAGAATAATTATGAAGTGAACATTCATGTAGCCACCATATAATTAGTTGAAATGGAGAAATGAATGCACCCTGAGTCCCCACTCTCCTTCCCGAGAAACAGCCACTATCCTGATTTTTGATATTATCAGTATGACCACCTCTATATACATTCAAGCTACGATTTACTTTCATGTTTTAAAACTTTATACCAGTGGAAATATGCAGTATTTTTAAAATTTTGTACTCATTTTCATTCATTCAAAATTAAATTTGTAAGATTCATCCATGTTGATGTGTGTAGCTGTGTAGTTAATTCATTCTTATTGCTGTATGGTATTCCACCATGTTAATAAAACAAAATGTATTCATTTATCTGTTAACAAATATTTAGGTTGTTTCCAGTTTGAAGTTATGCAAACAATGCTGCTATATTCTCCTACATATTTCCTGCTGTGCAAGAGTTTCTTGGGATTATATACTTTGAATTAGATACCTTCAACTTTTCTAGACAACATATGTTGTTTTCAAAAATAGTTGTACTAATTTATATGTCTACCTGTGGTAGATGAAAGTTCCCTTATTAATCTGTTAGATGTGTGATGGTATTTCTTTATAGTTTGAATTGGTATTTTCCTTATAACTAATGATGGTAATCAACTTTACATATATTTATTGCCCATCTGGAGTTCTTCTTCTAGGAGATGTCCATTAATAAATATTTTGTCCATTTTTCTATCATGTTTTCTGTCTTGTTTTCCTTTGTATTCCTGCAAGAGTGTAAATTTCACGAGGACAGAGATTGTTTGTTTTGTATTTCAAGCACCTAAAACAGTGTTCCTGGTCGCAATAAGTTTTCAATAAATATTTGTTAACTAAATGAATGGGATTTCTACATACTGTGCTGGGAATATACTTTGCAAGTGTCTTCTCCTAGTTTGTGACTTATTTTTAATTCAATAGTGTCTTTTGAAGAACTTAAGTTCTTTTCATTAGATTTATCAGTTTTACCAGTTTTTCTTCATAGCTAGATTTTTGAATCTTGTTTAAGAAACTTTCTTATTCCAAATTACTGATGATAGTCTCCTATATTATATACTAAACATTTATACATTTGTCTTTCATACTTAAGTGTTTAGCACAACTGAGATTATTCACATAGCTCCAATTTCTCTTCATTAAATATGATTTCCAAATTGTTCCAGCACCATTAATTAAGAAGCCTATCTTTACCTACTAATCTGCAATATATACTCTGTCATGTATCAAGTCTCTTTAAATGCACATTTTTGCTTCTGGTCAATAAAAAATATGTTGGAATTTTTATAGGTAAAGCACTGAACTATAAACCAATTTGGGGATAACTGTCATCTTTTTAATATTGAGTTATCAATACACGAACATGGCATCTGTCTCCATTTATTTAGATTTTATTAAATGTATTAAGTTTTAACAATTTTACCATACAGGTCATAAATATCTTTTGTTATATTTATTTTTAATAACTTCATGCTTTTCATACTAAGTGGAATTCTTTTAAAATTTCATTTTATGTTTGATGCTAGAATATAGAATTTATAATTTCAGTGTATTAATTTTATATCTGATAACATTATAAATTTTCTTATTTCAAATACTTTATCTATAGACTTTTAAAATTTTCTAGATATACATGTGATCTACTTTTAAGAACACTTGTTTCTCTTTTTTTCAAGTTTCCCAATCCTTATTACTTTTTTTTACTTTACTGTGCTGGATAGGATGATCCCTTGTACAATACTGAATATGTCACTAGTTTTTATTGATTCTATGCTAATTTTTTTATGCCAGAAACTTCCTAAAACAAGGAGTATATGTATTTCTAAATCTCTATAGTGATGTAATTCCTATGAAAATTCAATAAATACTTGTTGGAAGTTTAAATATAGACTTTTTAGCTTTATATGTTGTGCAGTTCATGGATAACACTGTAAAGAAAGCTGATGATTCAGTTGGGAATATGTTTCACAGAAAGAAATAGGAAATCTAGCAAAGGTAGCTATAACAATACAGACATTTATTACATTTGTCAACAAAAAAATGAAAGATAAGTGTTGGCATTGGTTCAGCAGCACAAATACTCATGGTCACAAGATAAGTGCTGTGGCTCTGGGCATCACAACCAAGTAAAAGCAGGATGAAACACAGAAGGGGTAGCTAATTCTGCCCTTTTGTGAGAAAGGCAAATGCTTTCCTAGGTGTACCTAAAGTTGACTTCACATTATTTTTCACTGCCAAAAAAGCTAGCTCACACAATTATGCCAAGGAGCAGTGAACTATGGGAGCAAAATGTGACCATCATAATTAATTTCAACATACCACCTGAGACTGTTGCACTGTTTCTGCAAACAAAATTGAGGTACTGTTATCAAGAAGGATAAGCTAGCAAATTCAAGTGTCTGCCACAAGCGATATACAGTTTCTTGTACTGCTTTCCTAATTTCACCTTTACAGAGAATACAACTAGAAATAATTTGCTACTAATGCCAACCAAGGATCCCCTCTAATGTTTTAATAATTTTACACATGAAACTAGAAATATTTTCATTAAAACCTTTGTAAAGTAATCTTAATTAAAAAATATCCTGCAATGATAAAAGGAGGCCTTTAAGATATTAGTGACAGCTCCAATTTCTGGTTACATATTAGTTAAGCTTCTGAAAAATAAAATAAATCCACAATTTTCCAACTATTAATAAACCAATCTTATTAATTATCATTTTAATTCAATCAATAAACATCATCTAGTCCTTATAATTCTGCTGAAAGATCTTTTAAATCAGTTATCTTACCTCAGGTATGCGCCATATATGAAGAACAAGCCCATCATTAGTCCATTTAAAATAAAAATCACACCAACATAAAAGCAAGCAGGGTCTCCCAATCCTTTGAAAAGACACAGATTATTCAGTATTTAATGGATAAATGACTATAATGCAAGTGGACATAATTATCTCAGTACTTTGTAATCAAGAACTCATAAATTAGCTGAAAGCATTTGTTTTCTGGATTGCTACTGTCTTTAATAGTAACTTTAATACTTTACCTTACAGGAGGTTTTTATTTAGTTACACTTATACATTATTTTTTAATATAGATACATTTATACTTTCCCCTAATGAAGTATTATTATACTGTAATGATTTGCTGAGGCTTCACATTTAGTTGATGCTATTGTTCAGCATCTGGAACTGTGAATAGAGCCACTTGATGAATTATGAGAGAAAATCCATTGCATTGTTTTTATCTTTTGCTAGGCTTTAGGGTAAGAGGTGGTCCTAATCTCAAGGAGCAGCTTTAGTCTGCATGAAATGATCCAGTTATTTAATTAATTATTATGTATAACTAGAATTTTAATATATCCCATATATAAGATTGTATGTATAACACATATTATGTGCTTTATAATCACCATCTGACATAATTCTCAGAACAAATTTATGAGATTAGTTAGTATGAAAGTCCTTTTCTTATGGTTGAGAAAACAGAACACAGAAAACTTAAGTAGTTTGTCAAAGATTATTTAGCTCTAACTGGCTGGAGCCAAGATTTGAAGGCTAGCTCTCCTGATTCCTTCTACTTTTCTGCTCACTCCTTGAAGTCTGTTCTGATTACTTCTGTTGTTTAATGCACCCTTCTTTAATACTGGACCACCTTAGGCTCTGTCATATGCTCTTGTCTTTTCTCCCATCTGCATATTGTCCTTAAGGAAATTCTTCCACTTCTATGGCTCCAAATATCATCTATATACAGATGATTCCAAGTCTATATTCAGCCCAGAATTTTCTCCTTATTCTTATACATATATATGCAGGTAGCCACCTGTCATCTGCTCTTTGAGGTCTCCCAGGTACCTCAAACTAATACATCCACAATGACATGTAGCAATTCAAGCCTGCTACTTTTCAAATGTTTCCTACCATTCAAAGGGACTCAATTATTCAAGCTAGAAACAAAGCTGGTTACATGACTCTTCACTCTTTCCCCTCTCCTATCAAACAATTACCAAGTCTACCAATTATACTTCCAAAATACCTCTCAAATCTGGGCATTTCCCAGTTATCTTTCCTGCAATTGCTTGCTGGGAATACAATAGCCTCCTACCTGGCCTCACTGAACTCACTTTTGTCCTTTACTAATATCCTTTCCATATAACTGACAAAATATGTTTTTTTAAATACAAATCTGTTAAAACTCTTCAATGCATAAAGTACAAAATCCTTATAACACGTGTATGGCCCTTCATGATCATGCATACATTCTCAACATCATTTCAAACCATTTTTCTATCTCTTTCTTCCAAGAATTCTAGCCTTCTTTCAGTTCCCTCTCACCTCAGGACAGCTGAATATGCTAGTCTATATTCTTAAAATACTCCTCTCTTGCTCCTAATCTCAACAGCCTTATTTTCTTATTTGTAACATCTACCACACTTTTAACTGCTAACATTGCTCTGTGATATAAACTCTATGAGGGTAAAACCCCATGTCTACTTGGTTCATCTCTGTGTCCCATATACCAAACACCAACCTATTGCTTACTGGAACATAATACCATATGTGTCCACATACAAGGTGATTGTTTTCATCCCTCAGGAATTACACCTTTTCACTGATGGAGTCATTACAAAGTGTCTTACTTTATGAGGCATTTTCTCCATTCCATTACAGTATACAAAAAAAGTATAATTGCCCCTCAAATATCCTTATGAATTCTATTTTAGATGTTATAAAGCTCATCTGAGAGAATCAGTAAAAATGCAAGAAAAATATAGACTTAGTTATATTCTAAGAATTGAATGTTATCAAAACAAGTCTGTAAAAATATATTTATAAAATATAGTATGTAGTCATGTTAAGAACTGGAAGAAATGAAAAAACAACTGTGCTAATGTTATGTAAGTACATATGTGTGGCTTCGAACAAGAGTCTCAAGAGATAGCATCAAAAAATGCTGAAATGCAAATATCTATTATTATGTATCTGATTTTTAAATATGTATGCATAACTAAATATATTAACTATTACAAATAGATATTTGACTATTTAATCTATTCTCCAAATCTATATATTGAAGCTACCAAAAATCTTATCTTTTTGTTTATCTTCTCACTCTGAAATGGAAGGCTGACTTATATTCAAGATTGTCTTACATTGGGGTATATGAATATTTATACTCAAATATATAAGGCCTTCTCAGAAAACTATGTTAACGTATAAAATACTCATTGAGCTTAATCGTTTCTAAAAAATATTAAAGTAGTTTATAATAATTCTTAAACTGAATCATAACATTATAAAATGTTTATGAAAACACTAATGACAGCACAACGGCATTTTAGGAAGAAACATGCCTTCACAGCTTTGTACTTCATTAAGAGGTTCTATTCTGGTGACATTCCAGCAGGTCTTAGTTTCTATCCCAAATAAATTCATTATTCCCATGAATGTGCGATACCAGCAGGCTATGATTACCTAAAAAAGACAAAAACAAAGAGATAATGGAGGAAATTACCCTATTTTTGTAATAACCATTATTCCAAAATACTATACCATTTTATAATACGATGGCTGCTTTTGACATTATAAACTTTGACATTATTTAAATCATTTCACCTAGGAATCAGTCATTTTAAAATTATATATAATGCTTCTATATATCAAATATACATTTTATAATAGTAAACAATTCTATAATATAAAAATATTAATATTCAATATTAATGTCAATTAAAAAGTATATAATTAAAATATCATGGTGATTAATAGAAAAATATAAAGATTTACAGAAACATTTCGCATTTCATTTAGATCCTTGGATTTATTTTCTTCATAAAATATATGAAATGTTATTAAAAAATACTGAAATAAAATGGAATAAAATAGCTCCTGTGCCCATTAAAACTTTGATCAAACAGAAGATTTAATTAACCAATTTTTTTCCAATCTGCAGTCCATTTTAAAAAGTTCAAAGACAAGAGAAAAAAAAAGATAAATTTATAATTACAATGCTCATGTCCAAGAAATATTTTAAAAATAACTTTATACATTTTAGAAAAATAATATGAGATAATTCAGAAAAAAGTAAAAAAAATAAACAGTTGAAAAGAGAGAGTAATAACCATTCACAGCTAATTACTTTTAGTATTTAGATGGTCTTTCTTCTAGTCATCTCCCTAGGCATTTAAAATATGTAACTAGAATTCCTTGATATTACACAATGAGAACATATTATAGATGTTAATGTAATATATATCACTAAACATCATAAACATCTTTCCATGGCCAGTAAATGCAGACTGACTATTTTACCACTTTATTTTTAAAAACTATTATTCTGCTAACATTTATCATTTCTATTCTTATAAATTTGTCATATATACACACAAAAAAATTACCACATTAAATGTGTTGCTAAACCTAGAATTATATTCCTTTCTGGGATGCAGCTTGATATAGAAGGAAAAGCATGGCTTTGAAGTCAGAATTGAACTTAAATCCTGACTCTGCAAGTTATAGTGTATATGGACTCAAGTAATACTTCAACCTCAGAACCTCAATCACCTGATCTCTCAAATGAGTTTAATAATAACTATTTTGCAAGAGGGGGTATGATAAAAGCATATATATATGTATATATATATATGTGTGTATATATATGTATATGTATATATGTGTATATGTATATATATGTATATGTATATACATATATATATATATAGTGCTGGCATACAGTATCCGTGAAATGCTTTTACCTTTTCAAAACATATTGCTAAGCTGACATTTTTAGTTTTACATGAGAAATTAGTTTCCTCGTGAACAGAAAAAGTATGAACATACAATTAAACATTATAGTACTCTTTGTTATATAAGGTTGACAGTAAATCTAGATCGTCTCAATTTTGTATCTATGTAATGTAAAAAAACTGAGAACTCCTTGTTGCCTATCAATTATAATACTATCAAGTTTTCAAAACAATTGAACACTATCATAATTACTTTTTGTATCAAAAAAGAATTTGAAAAATGTGCTTACTAATATTTCAATAAATATTATAGAATAAGTAAAAAGAAATAGCTAGGGCCTCAGTGACCATACCATTGAAAATTAGTGAAATAGAGAACTTTACTACATAATTTAAAGATAAAAAAAATAGCAAAAAAATAATAATTATTAAACATTGGGAAAAAAGAGGCTGGTATAATAAGCTAAATCCTCATCTTATATAAATAATGTAAATCCTATTATATATACAGAATAAATCAACATTAACTGAAGCTGACAATACAAGAAATAGGTTTTTCTTTGATTTTTGTATTTACACTAGAGTAACAGAGACAACCATTAGAATAAATTAAAAACAAGTGCTTCTGAAGAGTAAGTGAGAATACAGAGAATGCTGGTGCATAGAATTGCTTTTCATCTTAGACAGGTTTATACTAAACAATTGTTACTACTACAAATTACATTTTTAAAAGTATATAGGAGGATGTGAGGAAAAGAAAAAACTTACAGAAATCAAAATAAAAAGAAATCTGGGAAATTTCTAAGTACTTGGAAATTAAACAACATAATTCTAAATAGCCAACGGATCAAAGAAGAGACCACATGGGAAATCAGAAAATAATTTGCACTGAACAAAAATGAAAATACAATATATAAATATTTAAGTAATGCAAATGTTTGCTTTTAGGAAGATGCAATAGATGTACTTTTCCCTGTTATTCCCTTTTTGTGCAAGTAAATCCATTTGAATTATATATAAAGCAAACATAAGATGACTCTGAAAGAGAGAGAGAGAAAAGTTGCCTCATTTTCTCAAATTTGGAGTAAAAGAGGCTGGCAATCCAGAAATGCAAATAGGCACTCCGGTGGTTTGAATGTGTCTACAAAATTCAGGTGTTAAAACTTAACGGCCAATGTGGTAGTGTTAAGAGGTGAGGCCAATAAAAGGTAATTAGGCCATGAGGGCTTCTTATGAATGGGATTAAGGCTCTCTTGCCCTTCTGCTCATGAGAACATAATGTCTCTCTGCGGAAGATGCAACATCATGGTGCCATCTTAGAAGTAGTGAGCATCTCTCACCAGACAACCAAACCTGCTTGGGTCTTGATCTTGGACTTCCCAGCATCCAAAAGGGTGAGAAATAAATTTGTTCTTTATAAATTACCAAGTCTTAGCTATTTGTCGTGTGCTTTTTTCTTTTTCTTTAAGTTATTTCTAGATATTAAGGGGTACAAATGTTTTTGTTACATGGATAGCTTTTGTAATGCATGAGTCAAAGCTGTAAGTGTGCCCATCACCAGAACAGTGTTCACCGTACACATTAGGTAGGTTTTTCCCTCTCCCCTCATCCTCCCTACCCCTTTCTTGATTTCCAATGAGTTTTACTTCCCTCTGTGCACATGTGTGCTCATGGCTTAGATACAATTTATGAGAGAGCACATGCAGTGTTTATTATTCCATTCTTGAGCTACTTCACTTAGGATAATGGTCTCTGGTTCCATCCAAACTATTGCAAAAGACATCAATTCATCCCTTTTTATAGCTGAGGAGTAATTAATGGTATACATATACCACATTTGGTTAATCCACTCATAAATTGATGGGCACTTGAGTTGATTCCATATCTTTGCAATTATGAATTGTGCTGCAATAAACATTTGAGTGCAGGTATCTTTTTTATAAAATGACTTCTTTTCATTTAGGTAGACACCCAGTAGTGCGATTGCTGGATTGAATGGTAGGTCTACTTTTAGTTCTTTGAGAAATCTTTATACTGCTTTCCACAGAGGATTTACTAATAATTGTTGCAGTCCCACCAACACTGTATAAGCATTCCTTTCTCTCGGCATGTACACCATCATCTGCTTTTTTTTTTTTAATTTTTATTTCAGTATAATATGGGGGTACAAATGTTAAGGTTACATACATTGCTATTGTCTTCCCTCCCCCGAGTCAGAGCTTCAAGCATGTCCATCCCCCCACAATGCCCATTGCACTTATAATGCATATATATAAACCCATCTCCTCCCCGCCAACCTGCCCGACACTTGATGTTTTTTTTTTAACATTTTGGTTAGATTTTATAACTTTGCCTTTATCTAGCAAAGGATGGAGGTATGCCCTTCCCCTCCACACTGTTTGCCATGTCCCTCAGATGCGGGTCTATCCCTCTACCCCCCGAATCTCTGGTGAATACCACCACCCTTTGAGCACCATATTGATAATCGGTCAGTACCAATGTGATGACAGGTACATGTGGAGCCCATTTTTCTGATCTTATGTCACTTCACTTTGGATAATGGGCTTAAGCTCACTGTCGTTTCTTAGAATTGAGTAATATTCCATTGTAAACATATGTCAAATTTTAATAATCCAGTCATGAACTGACAGGCACTTGGGTTGTTTCCATGTCCTTGCAATAGTGAATTGTGCTACCATAAACATTTGAGTGAAGATGTCTTTGTAATAGAATGTCTTATGCTCATTTGGGTAGATGCCTAATAATGCTATCACTGGATCGAATGGCATTTCTATTTTTAGCTGTTTGAGGTATCTCCAAATTCTTTTCCACAAAGGTTGCACTAATTTGCAGTCCCACCAGCAGTGTAAGAGTGCTCCTGTCTCTCCACATCCTCGCCAGCATTTGCTGTTTTGGGATTTCTTGATACAGGCCAATCTTACTGGGGTTAGATGAAATCTCATTGTGGTTTTCACCATCATTTTTTTTTTTTTTTACTTTTTAATAAAAGCCATTCTAACAGGGGTAAGGTGATTATTTCATTGTGGTTTTAATTGCATTTCCCTGATAATTAGTGATGGTGAGTACTTTTTCATGTTCATTGGCCAGTTGACTATCTTTTGAAAAATGTCTGCTAATGTCTTTTGTCCACTTTTTGATGGAGTTGTTTTTTTCTTGATTTGCTTGAGTTCTTTATAGATTCTGGATATTAGCACTAGATTGGATGTATAGTGCACAAATACTTTCTCCTATTCTGTCGTTTATCTATTTGCTCTGTTGATTATGTCCTTAGCTGTGTGAAGCTTTTTAATTCAATCAAGTCCCATTTATGTATTTTTGATGTTGCTGTAACTGCCAGTGGGGTCTTGATGATAAATTCTTTGCCTAAGCAGATAGCCAGAAGAGTTTTTCCTACATTTACTTCTAGAATTCTTATGTTTTCATGCCTTACATTTAAGTCTTCCATCCAGCTTGAATTTTTCTGAGTGGTGAGAAATAGGTGTTATAACTTAAACACAGCCATATATTTTGCTGCATCCTTACCATTATAATAAAAAATTGTTGAGACAAAAATAATCAACAAAATGAAAATCTATACCACAATCATGGATTAGAATATTCAACATTGTTAAGAGATCAATTCTTCCCATATATATGTATAAATCCAACATAATCCCAATAAAAATCACAGCTAGTTTGTTGTTGTTTTTTTAAGAAACTAACAAGCTGCCTCTAACATTTACATAGAAATACAATTTTGAAAAGGAAAAACAAAGTTGGAAAACGCCCTTCTTTCAAGATTTACTATAAACCTAGAGTAATCAAGACATTGTGGTACTGGCAAGTAAACATATACATCAGCAGAATAATAGAGAATCTAGAAATGAATACACACATAATACAATCAATTTTCAATAAATGTGCCAAGATAACTCAATGGGGAAAAACAGTTACCACAAAGGAGTACATAGAAACTTTTTGGCATGGAAATGTTTTGTAACTCCATTGCAGTGAGGGTTACATAGTTTCATACATTTGTCAAAACTCAAATGTGTACTTAAAATGTATACATTTTATTGCATATAAGTTGTACCTCAACAAGATGATTACAGAGAAAGAAGCCAGAATGAGAAAAGATATGCTGAGGGTCCCGGATCTAAGATGTTGAGACAGAAAAGCTACCTGCCCTGCAATGGCCTCCTCTCGATGCCATAGTTTGTAAGAAGGCAGCGACTTCCAGTGATGAAAGACCAAGGAGATCACTCAGAATACCAAAGATTTTTGTGACTGTGAACCTGTCTACCTGTGGTCTGTCACATCTTCAGAGAAGAGATTTCTTTTTCACTAAAAGAAACCAGGATTTTATGAGAAACTAAAATTCAAAATCTAGAGTTGAGTCATTATTTATATTCAGAACTAACTGGCTGCTAATAATAAATGCTAGCTATCTTTTTGGGCTTTTTCCCTTTTTGTTATAAAAGTTCTATCTCTGATATTAATGTGAACTTTAAGCTTTTTAGGGCAAATGTGTAAGTTTATTTTATAAAAGGAACCCAAAAGTCCTTATGATGAGAGTCACAATCTGCCTGAGCTGAAGTACAGATTCTACTCTGCATTGTGGAAAGGAACTTTTTCATGGCACCATGGAAAAATTTCTATATTTTATATAGATATCATAAAGGTGTGAAGAGCTTTCATGGACAGTGTGTCAAGGAATTAGAGCTCCTGTCCAGATGGTTCATTTTCCCCATAGTGATTGCTTTAAGATGTGGGTGTACCAGTCAGAGGAGTCCCTGAAGGTTTTGTTCTACATACAACCACATTGTCACTGTGCTATCAATGATGTGAGCATGGGCAGTGACATCCACCTAGGAAATGAGAATCTGGAAACCATGTGCAACTTGCAGGGGAGAGGTACCCTTGGCTTTCATGAGGCCTAGGAAAGTTCTCAGATCTGTGAATTGAGGTTGAAGACATTGTTATCAGGGCAACCAAACAAGCCAGTCAAACAAGATGTGGTCAGTGCCTTCTTGACTGTTACCAGCGGTTTATCACTGATTTGTTCCTCCTGAGGTGCTTGCCCTGTGGTCAGCCAATGGTTGGAGCATGAAGATTCTGCTCAGTAATGGGGAGAGGTATACTAAGAAGAAGAAAAAAAAAACGTTTCTAACTTTAGGGAGCCTTTGACTAATACTGAAGGCCAAATTACATGCAAGTATACATACACATTAAAATTTGTGTACTTAAAGGAAGGGGTGGGCCAGCAATTATATCAATAAAAAAACATTACATTTATTTGGACATACTGAAGTTGTTATCAGTGCAGAAAAGCAGAAGAGAAGAATGTAATTTTCTTTTGTAGAAATGAGAATACTAGCAGAATGAATGGTGGATGTATGCAATCAGAAAGTCTAAGGGAAAGGTATTTCTACATCCCATTTGGTGTTTAAAAAAAGCTAAGAATAACACTCTTACTCTGAGATGCAATTTTAGCAAGAGCTGGGAAAATTTCAATTAATAGAGCGGGACAGCAGTGGCATACTAATAGAGAACTGTCCAGACAAAACTTTTAATTACAAGCAGTGAATTTTTTTAAAGCAGTGTTTTTCAACATTTTGTGCTGGAGCCACTAGAAAAAAATGGAAAAAAATATATTAATCTTGACCTAAACATCACACTTCATATAAAACTTAACTCAGGATGGATCACTGGATTTAAGTGTAAAATGTAAAACAAGACAACTTTGGAAGGAAATGCAGAAAATCCTTGGGACCTATGACTTGGTGAATAGTTCTTAAGCATGACACTGAAAGCATGATTCATAAAAAAAATACACACTAGACTTCATCAAACTTAAAAATATTTGCTCTATGTAAGACCCTGTTGAGAAGATGAAGAGAAATGATACACTGGGATACAATATTGGCAAACTACATATCTGACAGAAAAAAAATCAACAGTAAAAGCCCAATATAATCAGAAAATGAGCAAAAGATAAAAGATATTTCATTAAGTAATATGAATGGCAAATTAGTATATGAAAATATGTTCAACATGGCTAGCCATTAGGGAAATGCAAATTAAGACCAATTAGAATAGCTAAAAAAGGTGACAATATCAAATTCTGGTAAGAATGTGGAAAACCTAGATCTCTGTACATTGCTGCTGGGAATGGAAAATGATACGACTACTCTAGAAAATAGTTTGACAATTTCTTAAAAATTTAAACATGCTTAGCATGCAGATCAGCAATTGCACTCCTGGATATTTGTCACAGAGAAATGAAAACTTAGATCCACACAAAAAACTATACAGGAGTGTTCATAGCAGCTTTATTTGTAATAGCCAAAAACTGAAACAACTCCAGTGTCCCTCAGTAGGTGAATGTTTAAATCCCATGGAATACAATTCAGCAATAAAAAGGAATGGGCTACTGATCACACAGCAACTCAGATGGATCTCAAGGGCATTATTTGAGTGGACAAAAGCCACTCCCCAAATGTCACACATGGTATGATTCCATGTATATACAATGTCTTGAAATGATAGCTGGATAACAGAATCTACACATGATAAAATGGCACAGAGGTATGCATACACATTGTACCAATGCCAGTTTCCTGATTTTGATACTATGCCATAACTACATAAGATGTAACCACATGGGGAAGTGGGGTGAAGGGCACAAAGGGACCTCTGTATACTGTTTGTGCAACTTCCTAAAAATATATAATTATCTCAAAATAAAAAGTTGAAAAAAAAAGAAGAGATATGTTCAGCACATATTATTTAAGATTACTATGCAAAATATATTAATTATGCCAACAAATCAATAATAAAACTGCCACCAAATAGGTGATAAAGATTTATACAGGTTATTGACAGAAAACAAACCCAAATGCCTATTAAACATGAAAAACATGTTTAACCCCACAAATAATAAATACAAATTAAAACAAAAGCCATATCACAGCCATCATAGGAGTAAAAATCATAAAGTCTAATAATTCAAAATATAATAAGGATATGAGAAAAATCTTCCTAGATAGCAGTGTGAATGCTTCAGAGAACAATTTAGCAATATCTCATAAAGCTGATAAAGCACACACTCTACAACACAGCATTTCCACTTCTAGTTATATATCAGAGAAAATCTTGCATATATACAGTAGAAAACACATACAAGAATGTACATTTTAGAACTGCCTATAATAGAAAAATTAGAATTAATTTAATATCCACCAATAGGAAAATAAATTTTGGAATTCATAAAATGGTTAAAATTAAATAAATATATTTACATACACAGAGTTGAAAAATCCAATATTGACTAAAAAGCTGTAGAGTGACACATTCAGTATGGGATCATTCATGTGGACTTGAAACACATAAAACAATCCTTGAAAACAGTGTTTGGATGGATATACACATCAAGTTTACGATAAGGATACTCGTGGGAAGAGAAAAGGAGCAAACTGAACTGGAAGCAGAACAAAGGTGACTTTAATTGTATTTATAGTATTTAGTTATTTTTAAATGTCTGATGCAAAAATCACAAGATTAGTATTTCTCTAGATGGTTGGTCACACAATTGAATATTTTCTAAGTTTCTGTAACTTTAAACATTTCAAAATGAAAAGAATATTTTTAAAAGCTATAAAAATATCAATAAAGGACTAAAAAGCATTAACTTTTAATATGCTGGATTCTGAGATTGCTTTAAACTCAAAAGTAGTATTTTACTATAATGTCAAATTTAGCATTTATCTTAAGAGTTCACAAACTAATTCACTAATATTTTTGTTTTTTAAATTTCTAGAGTTTACAGACTACTATTAAAAAACATACTTTTTTAAGGCTAAACATTGGAAGATATTCATAGATTTCTGGCTATGTAACTAAATAAATCTTACTTATGAAACTCTAAGATCACTAGTCTGCTTATCACGTTCACTGTCCCATCATGTGATCATACCCACCTCAAGGTCTCCAAAGCCAACGGCCCACACCCATCGGAAACCCTTCTGGCTCCTATGACTCTCAGGATCCCATGCAGCATGTCTACTACCCTGGTCATTATTCCCATAGTAAGGTTTATTCTTTGAGTTCATGTAAGCACAGTTCCTGGGGTCTTTAAATCTTATGAGAGGAACTTTTGACATTGTGCTCAACTATAAGGACACATATAATCAATTAATGTGAAAGGTCCCCTCCGTTAATATCATTATGCTTACTTATTTTTATCTGATAAAAAAGGATCACTCTACAAATATTGTCTCAAATTACCACTCACCTCTGGATAAAGATGGAAGCGTTTCACTGTATTGATTACAAGGGGATATTCAGTAAGTCTGTCATTCATAATCATCCACAGTCCTTCCATAAATGAAGGTGCTTCAATAATGGTCTTGAAGTAGGAATAATAAAGTCCCTTTAGAAAAAGACACATAGTATTGATGTAAATAAAAATTTATAAAAATATATGACCTTATCCTTCTTTTAGAACATTTTTTTCTAAAAGAAGGAAAAGGTCATAATAAAACTTCTTAATTACTCCTGGCTATTGCATTCTTGGACTCAAAAAACATATATTTTTAGGTTATCTCTGTATTCTTTCAACTTATCTATAGGTTTGAAAATTGTCAAACTAAAGAGGTGGAAGGATGGTCAAATGTTTTAAGGAGATTTTCTAATAGTGCCTTAAAATATGTATACAACATACTTTAATTTTACCAAGTCTGGTTTTACCCCCACATTATGAGATGCTTGGACGCTGGCATCTGATGATTTCTATCATAAACAGATGCCCCCATGTCCCTATACAACTTTACACATATAAAATCATTTTTTCCCAAGCTTTTAGGAAATAACATATAATTACCATCAGCATCATGGGCATGGAACTCCATGCTTCCAGCTTACTTGACACCTCTATCTAATAGATTGGCACAAAGTGAAAGCTAAATGTCAATTGATTGTTGTTACTCACAAATGCTGGGTACTGAAAAGGGAATTCTTTTAGTGTACTGCTCCAGTATATGAAATAATGGATAGTAAAAGTGCTGCCAAGTTAAAATTCATGGTTTAACAACAGCATCTTGTGTCTTATTTCCCTCATCAATTTCTTGTTTTCCTTCCTAAAACCTAAAAGCAAATAAAGGGCCACATTGTTTATAATATACTCTTCCAAAAAACATTAATCTTCAACTCTGTAGTCATTCCTGCCTCATCCAACTACTTTATTTTCGGTAGATTAAGCAACACTAGTAACTACTAAATTAAAGATCTGTTTTAGCTGATGTCTGAAAGGCCATTTCCTCATAGTTTTGATAGGTAAAATATGAGTTCGTAAAGGATTTTCCTTTCTGTTTAGGAGGATAACAAGGCAATAAAACAATTAAAGGATATCTAATATGTAAAAGTCTATATTCAGAGAAATATTAAATATATAAATATGTTTTATTATCAGCTATTTTTTTGTGCCAGGTACTGTGCTATGTGATCCTGTTCATGATCTCCTTGCATTTTTCACTAAAACCCTGTAAAGTTGGCATTATTTCTATTTAACGGATGAGATTACTGAGAATCAGAGAGCCTGACTAGCCATCATATAATGAAGCACACAACTGCAATCAAAATCCAGTGATCAATCACTAAAGCCCAGACTCTGCCACAGCTACACTCTTTATTTAATAATATTTCATATCTTCTTTGGAAATAATACCTTTAAAGTATCCGTATGCCATACAAATGTTAACGTATCCAATTCTTCAAAGCTTTACAGGGGCTACAGGGATGAAAATCAAAAAGCACTGGCTGTGGAGCCTAGAATAGGCAAATTCATAGATAAAAAGTAGAGAAGGGGATTTAGGGTTTATGTATACAGACTTTCTGTTTGGGATAGCAAAAAGTTCTGCAGATTGACAGTGGTAACGGTTGCACAACAATGTGAATGTACTAATGCCATTGAATTGTATGCTTAAAAATGGTTAAAATGATAACTTTTATAAAACTTACGTTTACATTTTTAAAATTTAAAATTTACCACAATTTAAATTAAAAAGCAGTGGCTACAGAGTAAGGGGACCCAGTTTTAATGCATCACTCAGCAGCCCCCAACCAGTTGTGAGCTGATCTGGAGGACTGTTGTGGTCTCTTCTCCATGTAAAATTCTACAATTCTGGCATTCAATACCCCATTTAATCCTCACAGTAATTGAGACATGTATGGCAGAGAACATTATCTCACAGATTCAATATCAAAAACAGAAAAATTACTAAGAAAGTATATCAAAAGTTATCTCTTAAAAGAGATTATCTTGAAATCAAAAGAGAGCTAAAACAAAAAATTAAAAGACCCAGGTAAAATATGGGATCTCTTGAACCTAGCCAAAGAAATAGCAATTTCCGATAATATTTGATACCCCTGTATCATTTCTTCAGTGCTGTCTTTGTTCTCTGTCTTCATCTGCTATTATAATTGATCTTTATTATTTTAAAAAGAAGTCTGCCTTAGGAAAGGGGAAGAGATAATGAGGTAAGTGAAAGAAAAATAATCTCAAACACTTTTCATACTATATTATATTAATAGCTTAAGAAACAGTGCAGTTCACCAAAAGGTCATTTTCGTTCCAAATAAACTTCTACCTTGTAATCTTACTATTCTTAAACCACAAATTAATTAATTAGAAGAAAGAACCTAACCATTTCAGTGCGAAAAGTCATCTCCCGTTCCAAAGATGAGAGGTGAGAAAAATGGCGGTCATTTTCAAAAAGTGTTACTAAATGTATCCTAGGGAAAAAAATGAAGTATCGTATTATAAGAAGAACAAGTTCCAAAACCAATATTAAAATAAGTTATATATAAGCAAAGTAAGAAAGCCATAAAAAGAAAAAAATAAATTTTTGTAATAAACATTGAGACAATTTTATAATTTGCTTACTAACTGCTATGTTTTTTAGGCATTTATAATCTAGTATAGCACACACCTGGAATTCCTTAACTTGCTGGTTTTTAAACTTACATAGCTAAAATTCTTGTGAATCTCTCCACCCTTTCTACCACTGCAGGCCACTAAATCAAAACAGAGGCAGAGTTTTATTTTATTTTATTAAGTTTCATAGGTGATCCTGATGTACCAGGTTTGGAAATATCTCTGTTACTGCTGAAAAGCATTCAGAATATAATTTTCAACAGAATTCCTTTAGATTGAATTAGTTTTTAAATAACTATAATACCACATAAGGGATCAATTTTAAGTGCCAAAGAACACAAGACTATACTTGATATTTTAGTGGTGTAACTCAATAGCTGTAGGTGGTGAAAAAAAAAGTTTTTGTGATAAACAAAATTAGTTATTCTCAGCAATTATGCTATCTTTATAGTACGTGCATTCCAGTGAACTTGAAAATAAAGCAAAATTCCATATATCAATCGTGTTTTCCACTAACCCTTCTTTACGTGTAGGACATACAGCAGGGTACCAATAGATGTAGGAATATTTCCTACTATTACAGCCTTTGTTCTAACATCACAATCTCCCTGCAGATTGAATGGCCAGAGCAGCACTGTCCCAACAGAACATGGGGGCAGATCCCATTTTTCCCAAGGGTAGAAATTCCTGAGCTCAGGTAGAAATGAAAATATTCCAGAGTAGAATATTATTCTACATATGATTTATACAAATAGAACACTTTAGTAAAATAATGTGCATAGGCAGGCACACTGAAAGGCTCCAAGTCATTTAACTCTATATTACTACTGCAGAAATCATCTTCACTTCTATGTGAATTCCAATTGGCAGGTGTTAATAAAATTTTATTTCTAAAGTTATGTCACTAACAACACATAGGTATCAAAAAATAAGGAACTGTTTTAGATGAAATATACATAATATACTGGAAAAGCTAGATATTTAAAGAAATATAGTATTTAATTCCTCACTAAAGCAAAAATATTCATAAGTTACCATTCCCTTAATATATCTATTTTGTAAATGCTGTTTCACATGAGATTTATCAAAAAGTAACATGTATAAAAAAAGTAACATGTATAAACTGATACTACTATAGCTGTTCTATACACATGGCCAGAAGTTATTATTTTACTGTCTACAAACAGCAATAGAAATAAATCCAAATGTTTTTACTTATTTCAAACCGAAACTAAATCTTACCAGTGCAAAATTCCCACAAAGGCAGCTGGAAAAAGAAAAAAAAAAAAAAAGAAAGAAAGTGATTAAAAGCTGATTCATTATAAAATACCTTTAAAACAAGTATTCCAAATGCATTCCTTTGTATGTCTACAGAGATAGTACATAAAACAAGATGGCCAGCTATTCCTGTCTATATGAGTGTAGGGGAAAAAATCCAGAAGGGCACAAAATTGTGAATTCTGCTTACTTCTACAGGGAGAATTTAATGAGCAAAGAAAGAGATTGGAAAGGTTTTTACATCTCATGTAGGAAATTCATAAAAGAGTGATTAAATCATGGGTGATTTTTACCTTTTTGTGATTTTTCACTATTATTCTCTATTGACTCATTCTCTATTCCTTTACATAACATTTTAAAAAGAAGTAAATATATATAGTCTGCAAAGATAGATTCATTCAGAAAAGACTCAAGCCAGCCAGAGCCACCCCAGACCACTTTCCCTCATCAGAAGATGGTTAAATGCAGGCAATCACTTCCTCAGCAGCACATTTGAAAGCCCCATCATGCAATTCAACCCTTGATGAAGCTCTTTGTGAGCTCCTAGATTGCTCAGAAGACTCCTCTAGAGTCACTGTGCTAATGTCCCATGCACAAAACTTTATCAGAGAGCTGCAAGACAGGTCAAATAGTGACGCTGCTCTGAGTATAGGGCTTTCGGAGACATTGCAGTCTGTCCCCTCTGGTGGCTGGGAAGTTCCCTGTTTTCAAGGGTACCATGGAGCTGGGCAGAGGGGATGAGGATAGAACAAGTTAAAACACCACAAATCTTGCTGTTCTTACAGAGGTTCAGCAGCTTTTCTTGAATTAATGCTCTTTAGATTATTGTAAAACTTTGGTTAATTTCAAAAGTTTTAAAAAAGCTGACTTTGATAATTTTCCAAGTATTTTCATTATTGTCATGAAGGAGTGAACTTAACTTGGCTATTCTAGAAGTCCTGCTTCCCCTCTAAGATTTTATAATGGTATTTCTTATGGTTGTCCCAAATATACTTGGCAAGTCATCCTACAAACCACCAACATTAACCTCTTAAAAAAATTAAAAAATTACTCAACTTGGCTAACAATATAAATGCAAATTAATTCAATAATTATTGAAGAAATTAAATATGGAAGAAATTTTAAAATTGCAATGTTGAAATTACCAGTCATACCTCTCCAAGGCTTTTTCTATATTACTAACCATCCTGGGCTTATCTTAAATACTGCTCAGAAGAGTCACTGTTTTATATCAGGATGGGCAAACTATAGCACATGGTCTGTTTTTGTACCGTCTGCAAACTAAAGATGGTCTTTACATTTTTAAAAGGTTGTAAAAATAAATAAAAGATGATGATGATGATGCAACAGAGTGTATATGGCCCTTGAAGCTTAAAATATTTACTCCCTGGCTCTTTACAGAAAACATATATATTTGACACACTTGTTAACTCTTTCTATCTAGTACACTCTAAACCACTTGGAAATTAAACCTCATTCTACTTTCTCTCTCAACTTGAAACAGGTGCCCCTCTGATAAGGCTTCATTAAGATATACAGAGACTGTCTTAATCAACTGTATTTGTATCCTCTTTCTTATTCACCTGACAATTATATTTACTGGCAAAACGTCTTCAAAATGATATTTAAGGAAAATATCAAATGTTATCAAATTCATCTAGCTTTCCAAAGATACTCAAAATCTTTCTGTGCCTCTCACTCTCTCCCCTCACCCAATATTCCACAACTGGAAAAAAAAAAAAAAGATGGTGTAATCATGCTGAGATTCTAATGCATGAAGTGCTTATCATAAGTCCTAAGTTGTGACGAAAAGCATGTGCCCTGGACCCCTGCATCCTACCTCTATCAATCTCACCTTTGAAAGCCACCCAGCTTATACTGTACGGAAACAAAGAACATAGACACCACCACTCCCAACTTCTTTTGACTTCACTTCACCATTTCTCTAAGCATTTCTCTCATGGTAATCCTTGTTTTTCTATGCTCTACTATCTCAGAAGAGGAATTATTCCTCTTTTCCACAGTTACCTTCTCAAAAATTTGTCCCTTTAATTCTGCCCCTCCCAAATATGCCAAGATTTTGCTCCATTGATTATTCCCTCTCTTGAAACCTCACTCTCACCCTCTCACCTTGATCCTTCCCTTCAGCCTTTACTTCTCCTAGACCTTAAAACACTTCCCATGATTTGACAGCCCTTCAAACTGTGAGATACACTCTCCATCTCTCTCTTTCCCATTAAATGGCAAGATTTTTGACCAACTTCTTTATTCCAAGTTCCCATAAATCTTTAAAATGACCAATGACCTTTCAGTTAGCACAATCAATGGCCTTCAATTCTTATGCTTTTCAGTCTTTCAGTAGCATTTGGTCAGATTCTTAGATTTCTTCCCTTTTCATCTTCCATCACACTAACTCCCTCAGTTCTATTTTTCTGACCACTCTGATTTTATATGCTTATTTGGTTTTTCCTTTTCTTCTCATCCTTAAAACCAAATTTTAAGCCTTCCCCAAACATCTTTACTTTGCACACTTTTCTCTCTTCATATTGGTAACCCTTGGCAATTACACTCAATCTTAAAGTTTCCACTATCACTTCTACAACACGATAACTCTCAAATTTATAGCCTTCATTCCTGAACTTTCTCCCTCTCTGCTCCCCCTCTCTCATCTTCCACTACACTACCCACCTGTCAGTCTGTCTCCATCAACTCTCACCTTGTCTATTGCTCTCCATTCCTGATGTGGCTACCCTCCTTAAGACCATTAGTGCCTGGATTCTGGTAATAGTTTTCCTACTCTTCTTTCTACCACCTTTCTCAGTCTATCTCCAGTCCATCTTACATACTGCTGACAAGTTAATCTCTCCAAAGCACAGTTCTGATCATGTCACTCTCCTACTTAAAAATCACTCAGTGCCAACATTGGGAAAATACTAAATGCCACTGAATTGTTCACTTTAAAATGGTTAATTTTACATTACATGATTTCATCTCATTAAAAAAAATTAAGGAAAAGGAGGAATCAGTGCCTTCCTACAAAATTAAGCCCAAATGCCTTACACTTAGCTTTCAATCAGACTCTCCACAGCTGGTCCCTATCAACCTTCTCAACTTACTTCCTCCTTTTTGTATTCTTCATTTCAGCCTAACTTTGCTTTCATGTTTTCTTACTTCCATAACTTCAATCATGCTGTTCTATCATCCTCTAATACTTTATTGTTCTCAGCTCCACATATCCAAATATTAGCCTTTGTCACAATTTGAATCCCTTTTTCTAGAATTCTTCCCTGATCTCATTTCCCACCGTAAAGCATTTGTTCAATCTTCTGAACTTCCATAACACAATATAGTCAGACATTATTTCAACCAACACTCCAGTGCCTCCAATGCGCCAGCCCTTAGTGCACTGGAGCTTGTGTTTGGGATGGCGTTTCCAAGACCATGTTGATTCTGGATGTGGGATATGTCTGTATGCATAATTAGAAACCTCATAAAATCTAAATGTGAACTCCCATTATTTCTCAAGTGTTGTTAACACTCCAAGTGCGGGGACTCATTCTACTTCGACATCAGCAGTCAACTCACGGTGGAGAAGAAATTACAATAACTTACATCAAGAGACATTTATCTATGTTTCAGTTTTTATCAGCAGCCAGTCTGACCAAGGACAAGGCTCAAAACTGATTTAATTACAATAGCAACATTTAAGTTCCCTCTTAAAACTACAGAAAATAAGGGATGGAAGTGGAGGAAGAGAAACCTTTCAAGGGTTTAATAAGAAAATCCCCCAATTTGGAAGTAAAAGGATACCAACGCAGGACGATAAATGGCCTACTTTGATACTATTTCCACTATTAATGATCTCAACTAATTAAAAAACACTTCCTTTATTTTGCTCTATTTAAGGTGCTGAGGAACATAATGTCTGTTCTTCAAGAGTTGATCAATTATTTTTACAAACTGTGATAACTGGCAGCCCAGATTAAGATAACATTTTGTTGACATATGAGTGACCGCCAAGCCAGAAAATCCTGACAAAAAGTTTTAAATAAGAACTAAGGGGGTTGGCGATTCTTGTCAGGGATTCTCCAGAACTCAGACCTTGCCATTTTTGCTGCTAGACACCCACAAACCCTTGCTTGTTAATTGATCTCCTTCAAGACTGAAAACCACCTCAAACCTTGCGGCTCAGACGAAAGAGCCTGAGGGTCCCTGCGGCCCCAGGGTCCCTTGCTGGCGCTGCGGGCTCCCTCCAAGGGCTCTCCCCGCCTGCTCTGCTCACCTATGCCTAAAATGTTCCTCTTGGATAACCGACGCGTCTGCAACACGTGCACCTTTTCGCGGAGCTGCTCCAGAAGAAACTGGAGGAACTGGAACCGTCCAAGAAAAAGAGTCCTGGCGATCACTTCCAGGTGCATGTAATTTTGCGCTTGCAGATTTCGGATCCTCCGTGGCGAATAGTCCCGGGCTCCCCCGGGCAGGTTCCCGCCGCCTACGGGCGCAGGCTGCAGCAGCAGCTCCGGCTTTTCCACCTCCTTCTGCGACTCCTCCTCCATCTCCGGCTCCCCGGCTCCGGTGGGCCGGCGCCGCCGCTTGGACTGCACGGGGCGGGAAGACTGGCACGGCTCTGGCGCCGCTCCTTTGAGCTTGCTCCTCGTTTGCCCGACCATTTTCTCATAGTCCCCGTTCGGATGGAGCTGGGTCAATCTCTGGCGCGGCCCAGCCGAGTCGGGCGAGGTCCGGAGGGGCCTGGCTCGCCTCACAGCCTCAACGACTCGTCCCTGCCGCCGTTGCGGGCCCCCGGGTCGTCATGGCGACCGCGAAACGCGGCGTGGGGGCGTGCCGTCGACGCTGCCGCGCGCGCAACCCCTGCGCGCCGCCACACGCGCGCAGCTCCCACCCTCCTCCCCGGCGCGCGCGCAGCTCCCCACGCGCAGGCCCGGTCGGTGCCCACAGCCTCGGGCTATAACCCTGCGGGCGGCCCCGTCTGAAGAACTCCCTGCCATTTAATTCGTTTCTTCGAATTCAGACTCAGCTTTGGCTTTTTTTACTGAAAGGTTACACGTCCATTAACGTGGGAAGGAATCAAAGGGGAAGGAGAGCTACGCTAAAATAAATTACTGTAGAAGGAGAGCGAGAGAAGCCGACGAACACGCCGGCGCGCCTGTGGTGCGCCCGGCACCTCGGGAACGCTCTCCTCTGCCGCGAACGCGCCGCGTTGGGCATTCAGCGCCCGTCTCTGACGCGGAGGGAATGGCTCAAGGACACGGCAGCACGTGGCAGAGCCAGTGTGAGTCTGGCGGGTCTGACCCCAGAGCCTCAGATTGACGCGCGCTCGGTGGCACCGCGGTTTCCCAGTTGAGGGAAGTAAACCGATCTGTTCCAACAAGGTTCCTCAGCCTTGGGGCGTTGGGCTTAGCGGTGTTGGCGCTCTCCTAAACCAGACACCCCTCAGGGGCAACTAAGAGAGGAGCGCTTGGCCTCACAGTCGCTACACAGCCCTACAGGAAGCCACAGCGCCTGGCACAGATGGACAGGGGGGACCAGTGACGTTTCCCGTCTCCTCTGTCGCAGGCCATGCCGCCGAGTCCACACTGCTTCACCTCCCACCTGTTACACGATGCGTCAGATGTAAACGCCCTAATCCCCATTTTCCCTTCTAAACTATGGCCCATTGAGGCCAGGTTAGTTTTCCTGAGGCAACACAGCTCAAAAATGTTCATAGCTCCCGAAAGCCCACAAATAAAGTGGAAACTCCTTGGTTTGCTCATCAATGCCCTCAATAATCTGCCCCAATCTACGTTTTCCACTTTAATTTCCCACCTTCTTGGACATAAATCATCCATCTCAGTCATTCCAAGTGAGATCCGCAAGGTGAGACTCCATAATTACTGTATTCCTTTACTCATACTGAAAAGCCTTTTTCGCCCTTTTGTCCCTATCCGGATCCTATCACCTTTCAAGCCCCAGCCCTTTTCTCCAGCCCAAATTAATTATGCCTTCTCTGAAGGACAGTACTTATTGACAGTACTAGTCATCTTGTCACTCATTTAAATTTAGGAAGTACTTCTGCTGTTTATTTGTTTTGTAAGATTTTTTCTCAATAAGCATTTCTATATTCCTGGCACTGTGTTTGGTGCTTAAAATGTGTCCTAAATTTATACAATAACTATGTGCAAATTAAAAAATTGAGGATCAGGAATGTGGTAATTTGCCAAAGTTTTAACAGCTAATAAATTCTATCTGTTCAATACTGATATCAGACAGATACAAGGAATTTATGAGTGGCTAATAAAAATAAATTCTTGAGTGAATATACAAACACAATAAAACTATTTTTAAACATGAATATTTTAATGCTTTTTTTTTTTGAACACTAAGTGTAATGCAATGATTATGTTTCTCTTTTTGGTCAATTTATTTGTTTTTGGAGTTTCCAGTTACCTTTTGGGTCACTCAATAAGAAACATGTTCTTACCTGTGGTCTAGCCATTGAAAGTACAAATCTGGTCATTTTTACCATTTAAAAATTAATCTTTTTAGAAAAATGTTCATGGTACTATTATTTGTATCAGTGAAAACATAGAAATTATCTCAATGTCAAACATAAAGTTATGAAACATTCATAGAGTGAAGCACTACAGCACTAAAGTCATTTTGTTTGAATATTTAATAATATAGGGAAACAATCATGATATAGTATTAAAGGAAAAAGAGGTAGGATCTATTTTATGCTTCAGATATATAGTAAGCACATAAGATTAACTATCTGCCACTTGCCTCTCTAAATTTTTTATGTAGAGAACTCATAGGAAGATTACCAGTGAGTGACATTAAACTAGCAATTTATTCATTCTACGATTAATTTCCTTATTTGAAAAATGAGGAAAGTTGTATCTGTCTTACTGGATGGTATGATTGAATGAAGTAATGCTTGTAAGGAACCTAAAACATAGCACATGTTTAATAAGCAAATGTTCCTTTATCAACTTCTGTTAATAGATTGGCCATTCTACTGTCCACTAGTGAGTATTAATACTTTCAATTAATATTTTGTTCACCTGAATTTTTATAATCAAGTTATATGTTTTATTATTGAACTATGTTAGTCCTATTATTGAATACATGTTCTACATTCATTACTGAACTGAGAAAACTGAGAGTTGTGTAAATAATTATACATTCTGTTCCTAAGGAGAGATTTGTGCATGAAAGAGAAATCATGACAGTTTTATTCATAATTGAATAGAATTGTGGATGTTTTCGTCTTTTTATAATGTCACTAACAGTTGTCACTTATTTTGACTTATTTTTACCGGTTATTAGAGTCACATTTTAGCTACATGCTAATTAATGACAATAACTTAAACCAGTATGCCTGATACTTAGCCTATGAATCAACAATTAAAATAGCACATTATAACTTGATATAATACAATATATTCTTGCATTATCTTATCCTCTTTGAAATGAAGTTGCTTCATGATTTAGCAAATTTTTTTCTTACACAGAGATTTCTAATCTAGACATATACATCTAAAACTTGTGTCTGTTTTCCCTTTGTCTTTCAGTAAAGCAATGGGTTATGAAAAATGCAATTAAACTGCATAACCAGCAGATGGCAATAATGACCTGTAAATCAGAATTTTTTTAATTTTTTAGGTAGTGTTAAATTTATTTTTAAAAAGAAAAAATCACTGGCGTTCTTATAAGTCAGTTTACTAAATATGGAATATAGGGAAATTTCAAATGCAACCTCGCATAAAAATAATTACATTACATATTTCACACATCAAAATAATTAAGATATTCATCATGGCCAATATTTAGTTTTCCAAATAATATTGACTTTGCTTTAATTGAAACATAATTTGTTATCCAATTTAAATGTTTTAACTTTGCATAAATACACAAATATAGTAAATTTAATTGGATAGCTAAATCACCTTTATATCTAGTCTGGTCATGTAGACCAAGATAGAAGTAGTTCAGCGAATACCATTTTGAAAATATTACAAATTGTTCCACTTATAATTCACTAATTTAAAATATTAATTTCCCCTTAATTGAAAATCCTCTGCATAGGTTTTTATTTGTGCTGTTTTAGTTCCTTATACATTAAGGTAGTTCTTTCCCTTTTACAATGCAAGAAGTTGGAATTGGCATCAAAGTATTTCTCTCCACTCTGTCAGTATTAGTTATTCTCAAACATGGTGGAAAAATTCTTAGGATTTCATAATTATGTTAACTATAATTGGTCCACATTTCAAATCTTTTAGAGCAATTTTATTTAGTAATTTTATTCATTTTAATTATACTTCTATAAGACTTTTCCTATAAATTCAAAGATGAAATAAATGTTTTTGTTTAATTATGTATCTCTATTTTATCTTCAAAATAACTATAGGTATGTGCCTCTTGGAGGCTATTAATATTTATTTCCCAGGTAATTTCAAATTGCTCTGTTTGTATATGTTAAAATATAATTTCAAAGTCTTCTTCAGCAAGTTGCCTCCACTAAAAAAGTGTCTTTGCACATGAATATTTTATAAAACAACTGCTTCAATCTAAAAACATTACATTTCTTAGATCAATTCATTTTTAAATAGTAAATTTACCACTATTAAATTACTTTATGGAGTCTTTTAAAATTCTTGTTGGATTCAGGTGTGTCTTCAAAGGAGAAAACACAAAGACATCAAGTTGCAGTGAAGCACACAGCAAGTTTAAATGTAAGTGCAGCTGTATGTGACATTTTGCACAACATTGTCTTTTGGACCACAGGAGAAAATGTGTCTGTGATAACAAGGTAGAATTTCTAAGAGTTCCAGTCTACTTTGTTTCTATGAGGGGACTATTCCCACCCTCTTCCAAAAAACAAAAAATTAGAGCTCTGTAAGCTACTCATACTCTGATCATGAATTAATTGGGAGAATTCCTTTACCCACACCTCCCTGACTCCTTGGCCCCGAAGTGGAGAGACTGCACAATTTCATAATATATATAGCACACTGATTTGAACAGAAGGGCACTCAGTAATCATTATTAAATGACTTAATCAACATGTACACAACCACACTTACATATGTATACCACACCTCTAAAATCCATTTTTCCATGAACCCTATGATAATATGCCATGTAAAATTCCATCATATTGAGATTGTTTTTATTTACTACCAGAGTAACTTATATAAGAATTATGACATTCAATATTAATAAGCAAGAGCTTCTAATATATTAAAGAATGAAATTTAGAATATTTACGGGCAGATTAATGCAAAAATAGCAATGATACATAATGAATCTGTGCTATGTTTTATATAACATAATATTTTAGACTGATTTAAGATTTAATTTTGATTATGATGTAATGGTCTAGAAATATCACTAGTCTGGGCCCAGTATGCTTTGAGCAATTTACTTTTCTAGCTCTGATTTTCTCAACTATTAAATAAAGACTTTGGACTACAGGGCCTTATTAAGATTATTAGAACTTACTGGATTCTAGCTGATATCTGCACACATGCTTAGGTAGCTGGAAAGATGTATCTGTTTAGTCACAGAGTTCCCTGTCCTGTCCTAAGCTCTCTTCTTACCAGTGCTTCCCTTCCCCTCTCCTCTGTCTCTAGCTGTGTGTCCAGACTCCACCCTTAGGGTCTTACCCTGCAGTCTACCTGGTAGTTTGTCCTACTTCCTATCCTCCAGTTACCACGCTTGTCACTGCCCACCCAGATAAGCTGAGCCCATCTCTCTTTCTTTAGCACAGCACCAGCCTGGCATTCCCTCATCCCTGGCCTCTGTTCCTTCCTAT